CAGGTGAGATCGAACGTCAAAGTGATGCTCACTGTTTTCTTTAATTCCAAGGGCGTCATTCATCACGAATTCCTCCCACGAGGTGAGACAATCAACCGATTTCGTTACCTGGACACCCTGAGAGCTTTGCGCCAAAAGATTCGGCAGAAGAGGCTAGAATTGTGGGCGACAGGCAAGTGGTTTTTCCACCACGAAAACGCGCCCTGTCACACAGCGCTCCTCATTCGCGAGTGTTTAGCCAAAAACGCCATGACAACCCTTCTCCAGCCCCCCTATTCGCCTGACCTGCTCCATGTGACTTCTGGCTGTTCCTCAAACTGAAGTATCCGATGAAAGGACAGCGGCTTCAGACGATAGAGGAGATCAAGGAAAAAACGCGGGAACAGCTGAACGGCATTCCTGAAGAAGACTTCTCCAGATGCATGGAACAGTGGAAACACAGGTGGGAGAAATGTATTCGCTCTCAAGGGGAGTACTTTGAAGGCGACAAATTGGAATAATTTAAAAAACAATTTAATAAAGAGTTATTGAGAAAGTCCTGGAACTTTTTGATCAGACCTTGTACACATAATTTAATAAAGAAAGCAATATTTTAAGGATTGCTACAACAATGAACCCAAAATCAGGTTTTGATTGTCTTGAATGTGAACAAAAATATGGATGAACACTGAAAAGATTTTCGTGTTATACGTCACCAGTAGAAATCGATGGGGTGCGTTAACTTGATCAGGACCGTAAATGAGGATATTCTATTTCACGTTGAAACTGCGTAAACAACGACACACACGCATTATTTAGGGGAGTTGATCAGAGTTACCCGATAGAGGCTCGAATATAATCCCCCGAGAAATTCAAACGTCCTCCAGATGTAGAACGATACAAAATTAACAAAAAAAGAATGTTATAGTAAAGGCTAGTTTTCTTAATATTATATAACGAGTAATTATCCATATTAAAGAACCAATATTTCTTACTATTTTCAGTTAATCGTCTGAATAATCATTATTGGGTTGATTCATAAATAATTTTCGTTTTTCAAATTACAATTTATTGTCAGGTATCTTATAACACGATAAATATTAATCAATGTTATAATCAAATCAAAAATGACTACCTTGAAAGGGTTATCAAAAAACATGATTATTTGTTACCTACAACGGACGTTATTTATGTATCAACCTAACATAATGAAATGTAATAATTAAAATGAAGTATAAAAATTGAAGGAAGTAGTGAGGACAAAACAAAAATGGAAAATATAACTGAGGTATGGACCGAAGTAATTTTTATTAGTATTTTCAGTCATCGTCTGAATAATCACAGTTATCTAATACATAAAATACAATAAATAAAACGAGATACAGAACATTTAAAGATATAACGAGAACAAAACAATAATGGAAAATATAAGTGGGATATAAACTGAAGCAATTTTTATTAATATTTTTAGTCATCGTCTGAATAATCACTGTTATCTAACATATAAAGTGTACGAAATAAAACGAGATACAAACATTCAATCAAGTAATGAGAACACAACAATAATTTAGAACATACATAGACAAGGTATGCATTATACGAATAAAATGACAATATCGAAACTTTTGTTTGTACTAAGGAGAATTGTGTCGAATAGCAGTATAGAAAAAAGCGGAGCAACGATGAGTTGCATTTGCGAATTTTATCGAGCGTATAAATGGGAAATGTGTGCCGCATACATTTGTCGAGAAAAATTTAAATATCAGTATAATCTGAAAAAATACTTCTAACGAAAATAGTGTCGTCGACACGAATGAAGTTAACCACGTTGCACGTATACATATTAATTTTCTATTTCTGTGTCGACTTCACGTTGATACACTGAATAAATTAGTTTTCATTAAGCGTACTTTCCCCAGACGAACGATACAAGTTACTACCTCCACGTTTTTCCTTCGATCGATTCGTGGATGCTTTCAGGAATACATTTCTGTGCCAAATTCTACTTGAACCATTCCATTGGAGGAAGAAGCAGATATTTATTTGTTAAAATAAATAGAAATACATCATCTATTCAATGGAATGAATGAAACAGATTTGTGGAATGATATTGTATATAATGTGTAATTAATTTACTTCATAGAATTTTATTACATTTGCTCAATTGTATTTGATTGAACAAAACAATAATTTATGGAATATTGGAAGAAGGACATTTCATTCACTTGATCATGGAGGAAACTTATCTTAATTCAATTTCTATTATGTCAAATAACAGTATTTGAAAAAAAAACACGATATTCGTGTAGCTATTCCAAGATTAAATTACTCCTATATTAAAATAGCATTTATCAGATCCTAATCAAATATTATGAGAAAATTGCTTCTTCCATTGTTTCAATTATCTCTTGTGTTATTTCAAATTATATCCCTCACAAAATATAATAAACAAAAGCAAAATGAAAAATATGGAAAATTCCTTTTTGATTACATGTCAGACATATTGATTGAGTATCGACCCTTCTACAATTAAATGAAATACAAAATTCCAGTTTTAATATATACAGATACATCAGATTAACAGTGTAAAATGAAATATTGCTTTCGGAGGAAAATCGTATTTAAATCTAAAATTGCAAAATAAGTAAAATATTGACACATAAATGTTTGCATAGAACGAGCCGAAATACTGGTCAAAATTGTGTCACGCGTATCAGCTGTGACGTTTATCAAATATACGTGTGAAACATATGCGCAGCCATCTGGCAGTTATGTTATAAATAAAAGAAATCGATTTTGGCGTTACCAATTTCTCTACTATATTAATACAACCAATAAAAGTATTCATGCGTACGTAAATCATACCATGCAAGCAAAATACATTTCATGAATATGCATTTTAAATATTCTTTTTTAAATTAATAATATTCTTTCGTAAATGTTGTGCATGGTTAGTGGATAACATTCATTTTCGTGTACGTTAAAAAATAAATTTTTATGCTCAGAGATACAAGACTTTCGATATTTCAATAAATTGTGCAGTATTTGTATTGTTTGTTTTTATAGGGGAAAAAAAGGATATTAAATGACTGTTGTTCATTTACAAAGGATTTTCAGCAAAATATTAAACAGTAAATGCGTACATACTGTGAAAAAAAAACATCGGTAAATAAAAATGTCTTTCCAAGCATTTCGTTATTGGATTTTTCGAGCAATCCATTTTCCTAACAATGAAACATAATATTCTAGAGTGCAGTGAACGCAAATATCAAATTGATCTTTAAGTTAACCTTCAATAACAGACAAAATCGAGATAACGAAACTAGTAATAGTAAAACTAATCGAAATTGAAAAGCACGTAGTAATTATTAACGTGTTTCAAAAGCTCTTACACGACTGTAAATATTCAAGTACACATAGTGTAATGATTCGATATACAATTTTCAAGTGTACACGCATATAGAAAACGTGTATCTTTTAGATTAGTATTGTATACGCAGCGCATTGTACTAATACTCTGCTGCCGTTTATATTCATCGAATATAAATAAATTCGATATCCAGTAACTCCTGTAGATGATGTTTCTCCGAAGTATTAATTTCTACTCTGTTTATACAGTGGGTGTAGAATGTATTCGTACACCGATCAATTTCCAAAAAAAACTGTGTAAAATTGTAATTTATTAACTTATTATTTATAAACAATGACATTCTACATATTCTCGGAAATCTCTAGAATAGATAGATTACAAAGAATATAGCTATTTATGTAAGTTGAGAAATTAACGAGAAAAAAATAATTAATTGATAGAAATATTGAAGCAATAAGTATTCGCACAACTGTTTAATTTTTAAAACTTGTTTAAAAAAAAAGGAGAAATTTACATTAATTTATAAGTACATAATACTTCCTTCGTGGGATTTCCTTTTGATTTTATAATTATTCTAACTTTTCTAAGCATTAAATTAGGTAAATTACTAGTTATTCGAAGTGGGATCTTCTTTCATTCCTCTATTAGAGCCTTTTTTAAAAGTCCTTTACTGGAAATTTGATGTTTTCTAATTCTCACGGAGCAATAAACTAATGTGTTTACGTTACAAACTCTCCTGTAAATGGTTCGTCATAAGAATCGTACAAATACTTATTGCTTCTGCACTTTTACCCACTTTTCGCATTTTTTTATTAATTTCACAAATTATATTAACTAGTAAATCTTGTTTGGACTATATCTATCTTAAAGACTTTCGAGAATATGTAAAATACCAATGATTATAAAAAAAAAAAGTTAAGAAACTACAATTTCACACAAAAGCTTTTTGGGAAATTGATCGGTGTACGAATACATTCTACACCCACTGTGAATGCAGCATTCCGTTTAGTTTATACGTTCTTTGGATAGGCTTGATTGAAGGAGAAGTTATGTCAGATGGTGACCTCCGAAGTGTGGCTACTAATATTTTCCACATTTTCTGAGAAAATACTTCAAAGAAATTACAATATTTATTTGGATATATATATAAATTATTCTCAAAGTTTCAATAAATTATATATATTCTTTTCACGAGAAAAAAATTCATACATATCACTAAAACAATGTAGTTCTAAACCTAATGCCCCCTTAAGCAAAAATTACAATTTGAATTATAGAATGTAATATTTGGGAAAATAAAAATATAACCGTTCAATCGAATAAGCGTCATGAATAAATTGCTGGACGTTGGTTTCACTCGTTACCTATTAATCGAACTGGATTTGGTTCGTCCTGATATCGATTCTGACTGAGGAGGACCAAAATTGAATTCAGAAGAAATAAAGAAGCCTTGCATGTATGTATTGAATAGTATTGTTTACGTCAACTAATATTCGAGGAAGCCTACAGTGGTTATCAGATTATTGAATTATTATTATTGAACGAAAGACGAGTTATCGATTACACGTGATACGAGTTCGGCTCCAATTAAAAACATTCGATGAGAGGAAAGTGTAGACAAAGAAAGGGAAACTTTTATAAAAATACTCACCCTCGACGAATCGGAGCCCGTGGAGACGTTTCTTCTCCTTGGAAAACTTCTTGCAGCGATCGAAACAAGGACAAAGGTCCAGAGAAACGAAAACCAGTTTATGAGCACCGTATCGATTTCGTATCGAATCGTCCTTCCGAACAACTGTTCTATTCACTAACGATTATTCCGCACCTGCGATCGTCCTTCATTATTAAGCCTCCAATTAATTAGCACTGGCGACAGTAGAAATAATCTGTCTGGAAATTATAGCAAGTGGTACACGCAAGCGAAATTCGTATTCACACGTTATACCGTTGGAGAATTTCGAGGATAATTCTTTGTAGAATGCAGATTGAATTTGGAGTAATTGTGTAATCTGGTGCAAACATGCGCTCCATTATCTTTATTAAACGTTTCGACTTTACGTTCAAGTTCTCTGTGATAAAATGATGAAATAAATACGATATTAACCTACGAAATTAATAAAATCAGGATAGTACGAAGAAAAGAAGAAAAATTATTCTCTAACAGGCAGAGAATTAAAAACATAGAAATTAAAAAAAAATGCTAGCCTGCGGTCAGTATACTATAACTCGGGTTTCAAACCACTTTAAAAAAATTCAATGATTGAAAATAGCGTAAGGTAGCAAATAAATGAAAGCAACTGAGACTGAGAAATTGTTTATCCTAAATCGCAATTTTATACTAAAGTATCAAGAGAATCAGATACTTAATGGTATGCGAAAAGATACGTTCAGCGGATCTGATTTCTCGTTACGGCTGCTGAGAAACGTTTTAAACTGAAATCAAGGGAACCTTTTGAAATGAAAGCGTGGGACGGAATTGTTTCAGGAATCATGGCGAAAGGTTTCCACGATGCGCGCTATCTTTTAGTAGATTCGATTTCGAGGATTAAACAATAATGCTTCAACTGCTCCGTATTCGGTTCCATTCGCGGTTCTGTAGAAAATAAAACGCGGGCAACTTGCAATCAAGGTCTATTATTATTTAATGAAACGAGCGACTGGCAGAGCAGATAAAATAGTTTACGCTCCGAAAGCGACGAACGGAAACGAAAGTAACGAAATAAAAATGGATGTGTATTCGCATCTGCGTGCAACAAACACTTTTAACGAAGCATGTGGTCGTAACATTTAAGCGCGAAATGTCTCTTGCAAGACTGTTGTCCATAAAAAAATCATTTTTTGTTTCAATTTTTCAGGATTATCCATACTTGAGCTGATATTGAATATGTGTATATTTAATACATACATATACTACATTTATATATACATGTTTAATATGTATTTAATGTGCATGCACATATTTATGTGCATATGTATGATTTGGATCATTTTCGCGAAGGTTTCTTATCTTAAGAAGCGATAAATTTATCTGTGTTATTATTTTGTCAAAGCATTGAATGTTGCTCGATACGAGCGATTGCACATATTTAATATATATTTAATATACACGTACAATATGTACATATGTATGGTTTAGAGCATTTTCACGAAGGTTTTTTACTTTTAAGAAGCAATACATTTATCTGTATTAATATTTTTTCAAAACATTAAATGTTGCCTAATACGATAGACCAACCAGAGATGTGTAAAATTCAAATAATAATAGATAAATAAAATAGACGAATAAAATAATTTATAATAGACTATTTATAATAGGTTACACATAATTTTGTTCGATGGAACGGTTATTGAGATAAACTTTTAACCATTTTATTAAACGAATAACACGTAACAGTTGTTCATCTTAGTTATCATGTGAAATTTCAATGCAAATAAGGAGTTTGCTTCTGTATACCATAAACACATGGCTCAAAACGTTTAACAACGATAAGTAGCTCGTTGCAGTTACACCATATGTATTTTGCAAGCTTTAACCCTAAGAAGTCTGGTATTCCAAATTAAATTTAAACAAATATAAATGTATTTATTATTTGAACATTTTTGACAGTTGAGGTTAATTTTCCTAACTTTTACATGCAGCCAAGTATTAAAAACAAACCAATTGCAAGTGTACAATTCGATTTAAAAGTCCGGTATCAAATTCGAAACTTAGAGTATTTAAGGGTTAAAATAAAGTGAATCTGACAGATACGAAAGAAAACAATAGCACTGCAACAGAGTCGACTGTCAATTTCTCAAATGTACCTAGAACGATCTCAACATAAACAATTCGCATAATTAAAAGCAACTATGAACGAATACATAATGAAGTTCCGCCATAGATTATGCCAATAATAAACACTTTACTTGTTGATTGTAAAGACACGTAAGCGGCGGCACGTAGTAACAAAATTTATTTTCGTACATCCAATAAAGTTCAACGACACATCGACCACGTCATTTGCGATTCCCTTGAGTTAATGTAATTCCAAAAGGGAAATGATTTCTTTGTCATTTATCCATAAATGAATAATGTCGTGAACGATCAGTGTTTGAATTTGTGGATCTATCAGATATTTGTATTCCCAAATCTTACACCGTTTCTTCGTTCACATCCCCGAAAACCTACGAGTAAAGAATTAAAGCAATGTAAACTGAAACACTCAAAACACGTTTCCCCAAAGATGATCGCAATCGATGTGGAACAATGCCGTGTATCTGAAAATAAAATATTACTGCTACCCGCTACAGTATATTTGCTCTGGCAATCAGGAACGTGTATTTACAATTGGCATGGGGCTCGCGTAGCAAAGAAATCACAGTCCTCGGTATTTACGTATCGTGGACACCGGTTCTTCGCGAACGAAGTCATAGAACGGAAACGATAATCCGCGAACGACGGAACGCAAAGTCGAAAACAACACTCGTAATTCACGAGAAAACGGGACAATTAATCGGCGAAAGCACGGAGGCGCGAGGCGGAGCGAACAGGGATCGAAGGTCGGTTTAAAACGGGGCGTCGAACCGAAGGGTTAGCCGGTGGTTCGATGTGGAACGGGATACCGTTTCGACGACACTTTCCGGAGGGTAGAAAATCCATGGAGAACCGCGAACGCAGTGCAAAGGTACGCGCGCGAAACGCCTGCTACGAAGGAAGCGGTACCACTGAACGCTGGGGGGTTGCCGTTCGGTAGGCGGCCTGGACTCGCTAGGGGCTGCTAACCGTAGGCCAGCCAGGGTTGCTGCTGACGAAACGGTGCTTATACCGGCGCTGGTAGTGGTGGAAGGTGGAGTTGGAGGTGGATGAGACAGGAGTGTCGAAAGATCTCGCTGCACGGAGCCACCTGTCGAGGAGGTACTTTTATGAAAGTTGGGGAAGCTACTTCCGAAGGGAGATATTTATAAGATACAATTTACATAGTTTGAGAGTATTTAGGAAGATGTGGGAGGAATATGAAGATGTTTGGAAAAGGGTTTAGTAGCAAGGGTATATTACGTCTTTGACAATATTATAAATTCGTGGTGAATTAAATGCAATTGTAAATAGATTAAGATTTGAACATTATAACATAGATTATTCTCTAGCTAGAATAGACATAAAATAAATTCCACCTGCGAGTTCTCTCACTCCGTAAGGGATGCTAATCATATTTTAATGGGTTTGTCCTCTGCTGAGCAACCGAAAAACGTGTACCTTTTATGAAAGTTAAAGAAGCTACTTTGGAGGATTATGATATTTATAAGATTCATATTTCCATACTTCAAAAACATTTAGAAAGAATACACGAGGAATAAATCCAAAGAATGTTTGGAAAAGGGTTTAGTAGTAAGGGTATATTACGTCTTTGACAATATTATAAATTCGTGGTGAATTAAATGCAATTGTAAATAGATTAAGATCTGAACATTATAACATAGATTATTCTCTAGCTGGAATAGGAATAATTCAAAGTTCAACCTGCGAGTGCTCTTGCCCTTTATGGTATACTGATCATGTTTTTGTGGGAAAATCCTCTGCTGAGCAACCGAAAACCGTGTAACTTTTATGAAAGTTAAGGAAGCTACTTCGGAGGAGTATGATATTTATAAGATAGATGTTTGCATACTTCAGAAACATTTAGAAAGAGTAGACGAGGAATTAATCCACAGAATGATTGGAAGAACGGTTTAGTAGTAAGGGAAAATTGTGACTTCGATAATATTATAAAGTCATGGTTTCAAAATACCACTCTCCGTGGAAAATTAAATCCAATGGAAAACAGATTAAGATCTAAACGTATTCCCTAGCTGGTTCTAATCCCTTCTGTTCAAATACACCAAATTGAAACCCTTGTATCATATAATTTCTTTGCGAATCTAGTGTTACAGCTCTTAAAATTATGTGTGTTTGAATTTTGCCAGGTAATGATATAAAATTATGATAATAATCTCTTGATTATATGTTAGACAAACAAATAAAGGAGCATTTTGTTGAATTTTGTTTATATAAATGTATTAGAAGTTAAATTTATATATACGTTTGTATGTAAGTATGCACGTATATATGGATGGATAGAAGACAAGTCAAGATACAAACTTTGTACAATTTCATAAAAAAATTCAAACATCTTTGGTTTCGTAATGAAAAACTCCCAAGGCACTTCGCTGTTCAGATTAAATATTAGTTAGAGCAATTGCTTCTTATTCCTACGAATACGATGAACAAAACTTTGATCGTATCCTTTGGATCTCGAAGTCTTTTAAACTATAAATAGAAACGAATATGTAAATTATTTTTCTTTTTAATGAATTGATGCTATCATTACTAATTCAGACTTCGAACCAACTATAAAGAAAATTTTTAAAAGATCTCCTATACTTTTCAACACGTCGCCCTATGCGTAACCTTTTAATCCTGAGTTAGCTTTTAACTAGCCACCACATAGGGAGGACTCTTCCAGTTAAACAAAGTGGTTCGTACTGTATCCAGGGTCGAGGGAGCCTGTTCTTGAAATTAGATTTTGGCGAGTCTGATAGAGGATAGAGTTACACTATCTATGGGCAGTTAATATTGTAAACTACGAACGTTAATTCTGCTTAAATTCAGAATGGCCTTTGAATATTTGAAAAATGAAATAGACGAACGTTACGTATGTTAGATCAACTATTGGAAAAGCCTCGGTTGGGAAGTGCTTAAACGGTGGCGGTTATCAGTTAAGACCGATATAATGTTAAGCATTTTTGGAATAGGTTGGAATCTTTTATTAATAATTGAAGCTGTTAACGAGGAAAGTTACAGAGTATATATAAGCTCATTTTATATATGAGCCGTTCGCTGCACAAAATCGATCAACTCCACTTTTTGAAAAAACTTTAAATTTAGGTGTCAAAGCGCTTGGTATAGTTATAACTTTTTATATTTATAATAACTTTCCTGAATAATAAAGATTAACATCATTAAGCGACAAAATTTGTTTGGCCACTGAATAATAAGTTATTTATTTCGGAGGCCATTTCATCGCATTTCTCTACTTTTTATTTCACGGAGTTAATCGATTTGTGCAATGAAAGGCTCATATACAAGTAGAGTTTACCTGTGAAACGAAATTATCTTTCGTTGGTGCCATAATATTGGTTGAGAATATGCAATTTATCTCAGAATAATTACTGAACCGCGAGGGATATAAAAAATTAATTTAAGGGGGCATTTCACTGTGAACGCACAAAAAAAAGCATATTTTCAATCATTTTTTTCTCAGGAACTATTGCATAAAATTGAATGAATGTTTTTTTTCCTTAAATGATTAAGAAAAGTAAATATAAAAAAATTTTTTTTCGGTAAAAAATAATATGCATGTGTGCAAAAAAAAGTTATCTGCTGGCGCAGGTGATTTTGGCTCTCCTGGTAATCAGAAACAGAAAATCGAGAAATTTTATTAAACTATGTCGTCACATCTATCGTCGGAACTCCCAAGTAGTTGATATTTTGATTGTTACTTACAAGTTCACCTGATTTACGGTACAAAAATAATGTTTCTTTCTCTCTTTCACAAGAAACGCTGCCATTTTGTTTATTTTCGATGAAATAAATAAGTAGAAGGTCCGACCATAGGTGTGACGACATAGCTTAATAAACTTTTTCGATATTCTGTTTCAGATTACCAGAAGAGCCAAAATCACCTGCGCCAGCGGATAACTTTTTTTTTTTTGCACACATGCATATTATTTTGTAAATAAATGACGAAATATTGTTTACCGAAACAAAAATTTTTTATTTACTTTCCTTAATCATACCTTTAAGAGGAAAAACATTCATTCAATTTTATGCAATAGTTCCTGAGAAAAAAAATGATTGAAAATATGCTTTTTCTTCTGCGTTCACAGTGAAATGCCCCCTTAAGCAAAAATTGAGATATATATTTTCAAAATTGAGTATAAATAATTATTCAGAAAATCCTTGTTACATTTAGTTTATGTACTTTCGTCACGCGCCAACTTAATCTGGTATGGCCGATACAAAAGGGATATTGATCTCGTACAGCAGTTACAAATTACACCACTTGGACAATACAGGCTTACGCGGTTGCAGAGGTGTACACAGCTGGGGACAAGCTTAAGTGGACAAGGAGTGGAAATGATTATCATTCAAGTTTAATGAAAGCTGCACTGCTCTTTCACCTTTCTACCATCTCTCCTCCACTTATCTTTTACGTCATTTTGCTCCCTTTTATTCATTACACTGCCACCCCCTCCTACTCAATCTCACAATTTTCCTTATTTCCATCCCTGTTTCCTTTCTTTTCCCTGTATTCCCTCGTCGTCTAATGTTCGCTTTGTCCTCTCCCCTAATGTCCCTCTATACTCTGCCTATCCAGCTGATGCTATCGTGTATCATATTTTCTTCCCGCATTCTCTGCACTCCGCGTCGAGATTAATACACGGAAGGAAACTCTGCACGACGTCGAGACGCTTCCTGCCTGGGACGCTTCATCACGAAGCAAGAAAATGGAAAATTAGTAAAGAAAACACGATTACCATACTTGGAGTGCAGCTTTCCACGTAAACTGTTAAAGTAAAGATTAAAAGCATGATTGAAGAACATCTTTGTTCAGAAACGTGGAGAGTAAATCTTTGTTAAAAATAAATGTGCTTGAGGTACTTTTACGTAAAAGATAGAGGTATCAAGAGAATACTTATTATCATCGTACAATTACAGAGTATAGAAATACTTGTACATTATTATTATTAATAATGGAGTTTATAGTGTATACTTCATTAAATTCACCTTTGAGTCTACATTTTTAACAAAATAGTTTAAAGTATAAACATATAAAGAAATGGTTTACGATACGTCATTCTTCTCTGCTACGAGAATATCTTCTTGAAACTTTGTATTCCCCAGTTAATGAGTTTTTAATATACGTTGCCTTGAACGTAAGAATTTTATTAAAAAATAATGGCATGCATTTATTTTGAGATGAGCTCGATGTTTTTTATGGCTAGAGAAAATACCTAAATGCCTCGGTATCGTGTAAGCTTGGATTACATCGATAACTCCATTACTTGTTTTTCATGGCTTTTGAGAGTTGCGAAATAATGCTGAAAATCGAGTTTATAATTTGATTGGATGAACATTTCCGTAAGAGTTAGACACGATAAGTTTTAAAATGTTATTATAGACAACAAAATATAACGACTGTTTAATAATTATTACACGAACGAATAAGAGCATAATCTACATCAATATACTTAATTTACTTTAAAAATATTATCTATTGATACGCAAGTATACTATCATAAGGTCGTGAAGAAAACATAGTCCCTTTGGCGCAGAGGATAGCGCGTTGGACTTCTAATCCAAAGGTCGCGGGTTCGATCCCCGCAAGGGATGAGTTTTGCTTTCTCTCATAAAGATTTATGTATTATGTTCGTAACATTTTTGGTTATAATTGAGAAGAAAAAAGGTCAATTTACTAGGATTTACTACAATTGAAGGGAAAATGAAGTAAATTTTTTCCACTAACAATAGTATAAGAATGTTCTAGTGGAGTAATCAAATTGGAAAAGTTTAGTTTGTATTGAATTTTGCAATACACTCTTATTTCCAAAAAAGATTTTCACGTTTAAATAAAGAATGCTTCACTTTTCCTGTTTGGGGATAATGTAACAATAAATGTGTAACAGAATATAAGTCGACATTAACC